ATGAGCAAATGCAAATACATGACTGAAATGAAAAAGTTAATAAGCAATGACCACCAAAGCAGAGTTGGCGAAATACAAATTTTTGGCACCCTGCTAGAAACAAGAAACAAAACGAAGCAATCAAACGTTTAGAGCATGACTAAAAAAAATACAAAACTAGTAATAATAATAATAATAATAATAATAATAATACGCTATTAGCATAGAAAATGAAAAAAAAAAAAAAGAAAAAGAAAAAAAAAACGAAATTGATTTGAGAACTTTCCAAAATTTCCATGGCGGTATAAGCAAATTCATGGAGAAAACAGAAAGTTGAGAGCTTTATGCCAATAATTGACCGAAATTATCAATCATGCCAATGTTTAAACATTTTCTTCGCCTCAGTTAATCGGCTTCTTCTCGGTGTGGGTTGGGTTTTCTCTTTCCATCTCTTTGATCAGTTTGGGGCTTTGGACAATTTTGGGGTTTGGTTAACGTATTAATTACGATCTTGAAAGATTTTACTTTGTTTTAGTGTATTAAGCTAATTAATTGCTTTTTAGAGTAGTCGGCCCAATTTCCTCTTTACAAATCTAAGGGCTGCTTGTTGGAGTAATCTAATCGATTGCTCTAAGGGCGTGTTTTTTGTTGGAGTAATCTTAGTTAGGCAATGAATAACGAATTATTTGATTTATTTTTTACATTCCGTTTTGATTCTATAAAAATAGTGTATACAGTTAATACAATGTTGAAAAGTATATCACAAATCTCTACTATATAAAAAGAAGAATGTGAAGTTACTATAGAAATCAACAGTGAATTGTTCCATTTTATCTCACTTCAATTTTTATTTTTTTTAATTGTAGAAGCAAAAATGACGTCGTTTGTCTTCAATCATGTCTCTATTTTCACACGCAACCATCATTTCCCCTACAATATTTCTCCATTTTCACACACTACTTCACCTTATATAATCCAATTGATAAAGAAAAGAAACTGAATGATTTAACAAATAAAAGAACAACAAAATTACAAGCAAAAATAAAATGAAACAAAAAAAAGTTATTATAAAGTTTTTAAATTAAATTGAAATAATTGAAATTAAAAATAAATATTATTTAACTAAAATTAAAAAAAATTTCGTTTTAAACGAAAAGAATTAAAAAGAATTTTAAATTAAAAAAATAATATGAAGAAAAAAGAAATTTTAAAACAATTTTCAAAAAAAAATAATAAAAACAAAATAAAAGAAAGTTACGAAAATTAAATAAAGAAAATATAAATATTAATTAGTTAAAATTGTAAAATTAAGTTTTATTATGAATATAAAAGAATTAAAAATAATTTTAAATTGAAAAAAATTATTTATAAGGTAAAAAAATAAAAAATATATATAAAAAACTCTCCGTACTCGGAGACTTTTGCCTCTGTGCACGGAGACTCAAGTGTCCTGCACAAAGTCTTTTTTAAAAATATAAATATTTCAAATTACAGTAAGGGCCATTGACCCTATTGGCCTCCATCTCTCTCCGCTACTGATTTTAACAAATAATTATATAAACTAAAATCAAATATTATACAACGCAATGTTAAATACCAAAAAAATACTCAAAGTTAGTAAATATCTCAAATGATTCATAGTCATACGGCACATGCTAGAAAATTCAAATAACATATATTGCAACTTCTATCTTACGAATATAACATAGATTATAATCAAATAGCACATAGGTTATAATTCTCAAAAGCCAAATAAAACACAAATTTATTTTTTATTTTTTCCAATTTCAAGTGTTAATTTCCAATCTTAGCCAACCGATAACGTTCATTGAATATTTTGAATTTTGATTTGATTGGGTCTTTATCTCGTATTGACCTTTTAAAAAAATAAAATAAATATTAGTAGTTTTAAATCATCATGTCCGACCTTTTTTTGACGTCACTATCCATTTAGCTTAAAAGTGCTTGTAAAAACGAGTGATGTTGGGTTCACCATTTCTTCAAATTTATTTCAAATCATATGAAACTTTAGGAATAAGAAGGATCCAAACTATGCGTAATAGGGGTAAAGAATTAAGGATCCAAACCACGCGCAATAAGGAAAAACCTGTGATTATCCTTGCATTATCATGAATTAACTTCTCCAAATAGTTTTCGTCAAAAAATTTTATTGCACATTTCATTCAAGATGAATAGAAAATTATGCCACGGCATTGATACTATTGGTAAGGTGGTAAGCTTGTGGAAGTTCGTGAGGAACCATATTATTATATAGATGTACTGTGAAAATATTTATAAATTAACATAAACATTCATAGTGCTGCTGGTGCTAAAATCAAATTATTGTTCTGACTTTCGAGTTACAATATCATGCACTTCGATGATTATTGTCCCATGAGTAAAAAGTTGCACCAATATTTACAATTTTTGGATAATATACTCATGGATTGTGTGCTCAAAATGACCTACTTTGGTGTAAATCTTTTCCGTGTCATGCTTTGGTCTTATACACAACAGTTTTCAAAGAAATATTCAAATCTATGTTTGCTAATTTAACTAATTGCATGTTTTTTTTGTAGTTACACTCCGATATTTTAGTTCAATCACTGCCTGAAAAATCTGCATCCAACTAAGGTGTCGAATTTCCATCTAATTGGCTATTAATTACTTATATTTTGTGACAAATAAATCAAAATGCTTGTAAGCCCTAAAATAGCTTTAAATGTCATAAAAAAAAATACTATTAAGAGGAAATTTCAACATTCCCCTTCTGTTCTGTTAGGTAACATTGTCAAAGTACATACTTATTTTTCACTTCACATTGTCCAAATATAGTCCACGGACAGAGTAGAACGGAAAATTTATCACTCAATTAGTATGTTCAAAAACCAGATCCGTCTTTCAGTTTATGTGCACCCAAGACCATCATCTCAATTTACTAACACAGACATAGGTATTTTTCAACACACACTGACATGCACATGCATGTGCAATGGGAAATGAAGATACACAGATAAAGATATGTGACATGTTTGATGAGGTTGTGCCGAGTTAGACTGTTGAAAGTGGATACAATAGCGTAACCATCGCCCATCACCAAATGAAATTAGTTTTTGTTATTGCACATTTATCAAGAGAAAAAAAATCTTCATCTACATTAAACAAATAGATAAGAATTAAAATAGCTTATAAAAATGATTATAAAAACGACGATGGCACAAATATTTTTCATTTTCAAAAACTTCAAATAAAAACATAATAAGTAAAATACTAGTACAACGCACGAGATGAAGATTATATTTATTAAAAAGTACATGCATGGCATAATTTTCTCTTTTTATTTTGTTTTAGTGTATTAATCTAATTGATTGCCTTTTCAGAGTAGTTGACCTATTTTCCTAAAAAACAAAAATAATAATAATAATAATAATGATAAATTGCAGCCTAACAACCCAGTTTCAGCAATTGCGGCCTAAGGTCCTAGGGTAGGTTTCAAACTTTCGATAGCAGCTAAGGCCCTCATACTTCAAAATTTGAAATTCAAGTACTGAAATGGAAAATAAGTCTTAACAGTATCCATTATTAATGAGTCATTGTTGATGTTTATCTTGACGTACACCCTTGTTTACATAATATCACATGATATTATCTCATTTGATAGTTTAAAAAGAAAACTGTTTTTGCAGCCAATATTTTTTTACGATGCTGCAGGTGTCAACGAAGGTGGCAAAAATGAGCGTGTAAATGGCAATAATCCATTATTAATACCCTATTAAATTGTTATAAAAAATCTGTAAAATAAATTAGTAAAAATAGGGCCAGCAGGCCTGCTCGTTCATTATAAAGCCTCATTATTAAAAATAGGTGGACTAGAGGCGGTGTATAAACCAGACTTGACCACACTTTCGAAGGGCTATCCCTAACTTCTAGTGGGTCAACTTTTATGTACAACAAATTACACGCCAATTTGTACAACTCTCTCACATATAAAGGGTGGGATTAACAATTAAAATAGTTCTGGATCCCACACATAAGAGGGTTGTAATTTTTATAGCACTTGGATGTTGTACAAGTATCTTTATTCCTTCAATTTTATCGCACAAATCACCATTCCATCTTGCATGTGGCATATAAAACTAGCAATAAATGAGAAGAACATGGTGTCACCCAAATCATCTTGTCTACCTAACTCCATAACTAGACTAAGAAAATAATACAACTCATGGGTTGTAAGGAAATGTGTGTTTGAATTTACTACCCTTTTAAATGCTCCCATAAATGACACAAATCAAATTTAATTTAAGACATTCATGAAATCAAATGTTTTGAAATTGCCCCCTCAAAATGAAAAAAATTAAGCCTCGATTTGTGTCCAAGTCAAAATTAACAATTCATTTCAACAACATATTTTTGGGTCATATAACTTTTTAACCATACACTTCCTCCAATTCTATCAAAATTTATTAAAAATTTAAGTTAATTCCCATCAAGCAGGGGCTAAGAATCAACAGGTTGAACACAAAATGATCCTATAGTGAAAAAAATTAGGGGGTGAACTATTTGGTTTTGTTCCAACCAATTTGATGATTATTTTTACCGTTTCGAAATTTCTAATTTTTATCCTATGATTTGAACAATTCTCGATTTTTCCAATTGACTTTATCAATGTTTTAACATTGATTAAAATTTTCAGTTCAAGAATAAATCAATACAAATTGGTCAAATAAGAGGGTGTATGAGATATTGTATACTAGTTTTTATCAATTCTCCAGACTAACTTACTTACATTATTATCTTAGTCGAGTTTAGATTCCTCATCGCTTGATCTGCAAATTATTTTTCTTCATTTTCGTACATATTGGAGGTTGCTTATTTACTTATTCATACTTTTCATTGCGATATTATTGGTTTTCCTTGTATAAAAATAGGAGGAAAGTAATTAAGATTGAATTTTTTTTTTCCTTCTAAATTTTTTGTTTGCGACAAACAACCACAAGAAAAAGATCAAGATATCATCAATAGTATCATTTGAACACATCCCCATACAAAAGTAGGATCCAGCATAAATTACCATTAATCTATATGGATAAAGAAATCATATTTTTCACAAAAAAAATAAAATAAAATAAAATAAAATTATAAAATCACTAAATTAAGAATATAATAGATAGATCATCGCTAAAACAGTAATGCAAATCTAGGGTTTTTTTCTATTATCTTGGACTACACCTTCATTCCCTGCTAGCATCATGTACTTGTCCCTTCTTGTAAGAGTAGTGCATTCGAAACCCAATGCATGAGCCAGTTGTCTCTGTATATAATTAGCCACCTCATGGCTAGATTTACCACCAGCACATGTTAGCTCTTTGGGCATCTTCCCAAGAATCTGAACACTGTAACTTGGTCTAGGGTTCATCAAGAAGAATATAGGGTCCAAACATTTGAGCCCACTTGCAGTAGTCCCATAAAACATGGTCACATTTGTGTTGATGGCAACCGGTACAATTTCATCAGCTAATTCAGCAAAAAGAGAGCTAAATCTCAGCAAATATGGTTCTCTGCACGTGGTACCTTCTGGACAGACTACTAAATCACCTTCTTTTAGTAATTTCTGCATAGTTTCACCATCTTGTTTTCTCTTTCTAGTTAATCTGACTGTTTTTATAGGTGACATGATTTCGGACATTTTACTTAGGCTGTATGTTACTGCAGTTAAGGGTCTTTCAAGGGATGTGCTGAGGAAAACTGGGTCCAAAAGGGTTCTATGGGTACAAACATAGAGTACACCTTTACCATTTTGGGATTTTAAGGGAGCACAGCCTTTGATTCTGATGTTTACACCACTTGAAGTGCCTAAGAAGATGGCCATTTTGTAAGGTAAATAGATGCCAACAAAAAGTCTAAAGATTGCCAGCACAAATCCCACAGGAATCCACATGAACATAGCCAAAGTTGCAAAGGGAGTGGGCAAAAATGCTAGCCTTCCATCATGAAATACTAAGGGCTTCGGATATTTCTCTCTTGGAAGTACTGAATTTGCACTGGTTTTGCTGTCTTCTTTGTTGATCACATATGCTTCCTGTGGAAATTATGAATGGATAAAAATAGTAAAGTGCTAGAAAGGGATGCTCGAAAATTGATTAGGGAAGCTGATGCATACCTTGCAAAGAGAGATTAATAGGTGGTCATAAAGACTTGAAGTTCCAATGCCAATGTCAGGTCTTTTCTCCCCAAACAAGTCTTTAAGAGCTCTATGTTTAATAAGAAGTCCTGTATTGGATACTAAACCGGTGAAATGGTTCCCTACTGTATGCAACTCAGTCCCTTTAACAGAATCAACACTTAAGTACTCCTTTAGAAAACCTTCCACCATTACTCTAGGCACACTTGTTAAGACAACCTTAGATCCTACTGAATCAAGAACCTCAAAAGCATGAAAATTGAGATTTTCAAGATAAAATTTAGGCAAAACAGCTCTTGATACACTATCCATATCCTCCAACCTAAGCCCACAAAATGTAATAAAAATCATGACCCTCAATTTAAGCTCGTAGTCCAAAACCAACAAAAGAGGACTTGATAAGAGCAGCAAAAAGGCTCTTAAAATGCTGCCACCTTCAAATGCAACCAGCATGAAGTAAGGGAAGAAAGACTGAGATCTTAACAAGCAGCCATGAATATCACACACAAGTGTTTTTGATTTTCTTCCATGTAAATGGCATTTGGTAATACTAGGGTATAAAGGAATCTGATGCGAAGATGAAGTTGATGATTTGATGCAAGTATTTTTCAGAAAGAAGCCATGGTTTATAACCTTCATTGCAGCCCTATAACATGAGTTTCCTAAGAACTGGTACAAAAGCCAGTCCACTAATTTCAGTAACACCATTGGAAGCATCATGGTTTTTACTGTTGATGTCATTTCTCTGATAGATATGCTTCAAAGGGTTGACAATGGAAAAATAATGAAGAGAGAGGGAAGCAGTGAAGAGAGTTAGAACAGACCCAGAGGGAATTTATAGGAGAAATTATAAGGGGGAGTGGCGAAGTTGACCACACCGCTTGCATTAATTGCCGCCCAAGAATTTCTTTTGAATTTTCATGATTTCGAATAGTGTATACTATTTTTCTTCCCTCTGAAAAAAATGTACATGTTTTTCTCTTCCTAGGTGAGCAATATTGGTAGGTTATATGTTGTTGAACGCCTTCATCATGTTGCAAAAAACCCTTTGAAAAATTTGCCAGGGGCATCTGGCTTTAAGCTTAAAAGATTTACTTATAAGTAAGTTATCACAATATCAGTTAGAGGTTGTTATGGACATATGAGTTTGATGTAGCCCGTTTAATATCTTTAGATGAATTCGACTCCACATTGTTCACAAAATTTCAAGTCTTCTTTTTCTTATTTGATTATTTGGTAATTCACAAGCATAAATTCCCTTTTTATATGCCCAAAGTTTCTTTCACAAAATTATCCACATTTTCCTGATTTATTGATACCTATCTTTTCCCAATTTATTGATTTTGTATTGAAACGTATCGGATTCTACCAGAATTTCAACAATTTCTCCATTATCAGTCTTTTAGTAGAACAAGCATTATTTATTTATTTATTTATTTTTGAACTAATTCAGTTCATAGTAGTTGATGCTTATACTGATCGATCATAGAAGAAAATTTCTAATTCGTTTTGATTAATTTACAAGGATTTCACAAAATCATCAATCTTTTCCCAGTTTATTGATATCTCTATCTTTTCCACATTTATTGGTTTTTTTATATTGAAAAGTATAGGATTTTGTCACGTCTTCAACAATCTTTCCATTACGCAGTATTTTATAGTAGCCTAAGCACATTTTGTTGAGGAGAAACTAATTCAATTCGTAGTTGTTGATTTTAATACAAATCAATCATAGAAAAAATTATGATTCATTCCTATTAAAATTCCTAAATTTTTTTTGAGATACAACGAATTAATTTACTTTGATTTCAAAAAAAAAAAAAAATCTATCTTTTCCCAATTTATTGATATCTATCCCTTTTTTTTTTTTTTATTCAATTTAATGGTTTTGTAATGAAACGTGACGAGTTCTATCACCTCTTCAACAATTTTTCCATTAATCAGTCTTTTAGTAGAGCAAGTATTTTTTTTATTGTGGAGAAACTAATTCAATTCATAGTTGGTGATGTTTATACCAATCAAAGAAAAAAATCATAATTAATTCTGATTAAACTTCCTAAATTTTTTTCAGATACAAATAATTAATTTATTATTATTTTACGAATAGTCCATCTTTTTTATTTTTCTGATTTATTGATTTTGTATTGAAAATTATCTATTCTCTCCATCAGACAGTATTTTAGTAGCCCAAGCACTTTTTATTAAGAAACTATTTGAATTTGTAGTTATTGATATTCATACCAATTGATCGTTGAAGAAAAATTATGAGTAATTCTTCGTAAATTTTTTCATATACAAGGAATTAATTTACTATGATTTCTCAAAATAATCCATCTTTTGCCGATTTATTGATATCTATCTTTTCTCGATTTATTGATTTTGCGTTGAAAAGTATTGGATTTTGTTACCTCTCCAATAATCGCCCGATTAGGTAGTATTTAGTAGCCCAAGCACTTTTCTGTTGAGGAGAAACTAATTAATTTGTATTTATTTATGTTTATACCAATCGATCATGCAAGAAAAATGTTGATTAATTTCAATTATTCTTCCTGAATTTTTTTCAGATACAAGGTATTAACTTAGTACCTCATGTTTGATATATATATATATATATATATATTTGGGAAATGATTTTTGGAATTGTGATTTATTAGAGAATGTGTAGTTAAAAAGTATGAAATTTTTTTCGTTATACGTAGAAAATATTTTATTATGAAAATGTAGGGTTAAAAATAAGTTTAAGAAAAAATTAGTTTACTTATAGTGCAACATGGGCTTACCATGAAGTTCAGCCGAAACAGTCAATGTCTTGGACTGTGTGCGCAGCACACCGTGTTCATCATCACTCTTGAGATAGAGACCAGTGAATGCCATCAATGAGTTTTCAGTAGAAATTTCTCATGAATTGACTTATTTAAGCATTAAATTTTTTAGTTTTAATTGGGCTCAAGAATTTGCTGGTTAGTGCAGTTAATTACCACCAGCCAGAGTTGACTTTATTCCATTTCTGTTTAAAGAATGTTAACCAAATCGTCTCGTTGTCGTATGGATGAAGTAAATGAATGTCGAGTTTTATCTTGAACCCATTTTGAACCACATTATTGTAAAAATGAGAATGAAAAATATAGTCGTTATGGGTCCCACACTTCATAATATATAGTCTCCGTTTGAATCACATTATTGTAAAAATGAGAATGAAAAATATAATCGTTATGGGCTTCACACAAGAGATAAAAAGTCAAATATAGTGATTTGATGTGATGGATAACGGTAATATTTTTCATTTTAACGAGAAAAAAATAGGGCTCAAACAGGGCCATATATTATGAAGTAGTCATATTCAAAGTCGTTATATTAACATGAGGGAAATTTTGCTAGCAAGACTAGTGATTAGAGTGAAGTCATAACAAAATAATTGTACTACGATTGAAGAAATTATGACAGATCAGAAATGACTCGAATGTAATTCATACTGGAACACACTTGCTCCAATGTCAGAACCAATATCAAAAGAATGGCATTCTTGATTGTTTATTTAAACTGTTGCAATAAAATTCATAATTATTTTCCTTATTTCATGATAGAATCGATCTTAAATTTATTGAAGATAATATGTATTTTTTAACGTTGTTTCTCATACCGTGTCTCGGATCATGGGTTTCTAAACATTAATTGTTAATAGTAAGTAGTTGATTGAATCGTTTTAAGTGAGGGTTCCAACCACAAACACAAATCTATTTGAGGCAAACGAGGAGGTTGTTGAGAATTAAACAAGAATTTCAATACATTTTGCTAGTTACCAATGTCCTTAATTAATTGGCTCAAACCAAGAACATGGAAGACCAGATCTCAAAATAAAAATGGAATCTGTTAATAAATTCATGTAATTTACTCATTCAAAATCTGAAATCATGCAATTCTTGTTAATGAGTTGGTGAGTCTTGTAACATAAGATCTTCATGCAACTTTTCAAGTTTGAATAGTCCATTCATATCTAATTTGTTGTCCTTTTTCTGTTCACAGCTTCTTTCTACTCGCAATATATAATTTTTTCTTTATCCGCTTCCCTTTCAGAAACGTAAATCACTGAAATTTATTAACTCAGATCGATCTGGATTGCATGTGAAGTAAAAAGAAGAATATTTAATAAAATAGCAAGAAAATAAAATAGCAAGAACCACAATGTGCAGACCTTAGCAAAGCAACAATATTTTTTATGTCCATCACAAGTTTCAGATGATAATTTGAATTTTTATGAATAATTCAAACTCTATATGTGATGCAAATCGAATGTACATGCATTTGAAGGTTCTTTCATGCCATATATGTGTAGGAGAATAGTTATCACATGGTTTAAGGAACTTAAAAATAGGGAAGACCAGGGCTAGACTCTCCAACTGTTTTATTCATGTGGTTTCGCCTCTTTTAACTTTTAAATGCGATGTTTGTTTTAAACTTTTAAAGAGTCTATGCGAGACTAGGCAAAGTCTGGATGAAGTCTAGCCTAAAAAAACGTAAAACGTGACTTGACAGCAAAATCTAGCTTTGTACATAGACATGGTCTAGGCAAGTGTTTTAGAACAATGTTTTAGAAAGAGAAGAAAAAAAAAAATTTTGAGTTTCTGAATTACTAAGGCCCTGTTCTCTTTATCGTTTTCGGATCGTTTTCTGTTTTCGATTTTTCAAAACGGTGAAAACGCGTTCTCTTTCCCGTTTTCGAAAACGAATTTTCGAAAACGAAAAA